AACACTTGAGTGACGTTCATGTTGCCTTAAGCGGAAATCACACCCAGAATCACACGGAAATGGAGGAGAAGAGGACAGGGAAAGGCGGGGGAAAGAGAAAGATAGAAATCGCTTGTTGACTTGACCCAGGATGGGTTGTAAAGGATCGAGAGAAAATACTTGTCCACAAACAAAAAGGAGTGTTTGGTGTGGACAGTTAAAGAGTCAAAAGATGAAGAGGAAAAAAATAAAACGATGTTGGAGGTTCAGATCAAAAAGGTTGTTTTTGTGGATATGACGAGGCATGCACCGGGTCGGAGAAGAGACCAGACAGCGGACCAAAAGACGTGGTGAATGCACGCCAGAACAAGGGAGGAAAAGGGAGAAAAAGCTATGAACAAAAAGCCCCCCAGAATCCTTTGATGACAGACAGACGCTTGATGGATAGTGTACTCTGGAGTGGGGTGGAGGAAAGACGGTTTTGGCAGGGATTTGGGTTTCCTGTGAGTTTTCTGGAGGATATAAGGCTGAGGAGAGAAGTGAAGGCAACAGGAAGGCGAAGGGAAGAGGATAGAGGGGCAGAAAGCTGATTTCCTTTTTTCGTCTTCGCCTCTGGGATATTTTCCTCTCTTTTGATGCCAAATGGGAATGGTATGGAGACAAATGATGCTAGACCAGTAGACTAAGGCTAAGGATAGATACTTGATCGTACTCTGGACTCTGTACCTACCTTACACCTACAGAGAGATCCGGGGTGTCTTTACTGGACGCTGAGACGCACTTGGGGCTCCCGGAGCTGCCGTCAACACTGTGCCCTACCATTGGCCGGCGACCGCCCATCCGAGAATGGAGCTCTCACGTGATGCCACATTTTACGTCCCTTTCAACGCACCATGACAGACAGCAGCAGCTGTGTCAAATAATTGCAGGGGATGGATTAATATTACTTGACCGACAGTACTTTTCATCCTTTTTATTCCGTAACCTTAGAGAAAGAACCTCTGTATATTCTGTTCTCCGCAGGTCTACCCACGTCTAAAGTCACTTTCGTCATTACCGTACTTGTAATCTCCTACCTGACTACCTCAGGTACTTACGTATTGAGGCTGCCCCTCCTCTTACATAACCACTGCTGAAGAGTAAACACAAGGGGGGAAAATTCTTCCTTTGCTTGTTTTCATTTTGCTGCATTGGAGGGTCATTTTCCACAGTGTTTGCGTTGGCCCGGGCGACCGAAAACCCCATCAGGGCGTCAACCCCAATCAGCGCACAAACCCTCACACTAGTTGGACTTAGGACTCAAGATTCTGTATGGATTGGTTTGGGATTCTAAAGAGATCCACTGGTTGATGGGGCTGAGAAGATTTTGGATTGTTTCGAGAAGAAGGAAATTCGAATCCTGATTGTAAACACTAGACTAGACTAAACAGACACAACGGTGATTTTAAGAAAGAAACAATGTATCGAACACGGTAGAAGGTTGGGATTGTACTGTACTTGCTATCATACCGAGTATTTCGATGGATCCTAGAATGTAGAATCTAGCTAAATCAGTACGACCTCATGGCCACTGATGTAACCGGGAATGCGTATGCGTCTCACGGTGAAACCATCCCTCATACTCTGGATGAACTAGTATGAACCATGAATTTGAATGACCTTCTTTAGACAGAACAGCCTTGCGAAGCTCTCGTTGAAGTCATGATTATGCTATCTATTCGCTCTCCTCACCCTCATCAGCCATCTCAGCATCCATGTCCAAGACTTCATAGCGCAACCCATCGTCGTACAAGACGCAGATCGCCCGGCGACCTTTTCGTCCATTGACGTCGAACCTCAAGGGCCTGGCCTTCTGACCGGACACAGAAAAGGCATGCTTGATGAGGCTCGCGTGCGTGGAATGCGGCGATAACAAGTCCAGAGTCGTAGCATCTGTTGTGGGTTGAGGTGAGGTAGGATCAAGCAGTTTGTCGCTGTAGGTGATGAAGAAAGGAGACGGCGAGCTGAAGGCTCCTTCATTATCGAACGTGGATGCCGGCTGAAACGGGATGTTGAGCAGATAGGCAGTTCCTTCTACTCATTCAGGGTCGTTAGTGGCTGGCGAAATAGGCAGGCCAGGTTGATAACATACTGTTATTCGACCAAAGGAGCATCATGGTATCATCCTGCACGAATTGAATCTGGCGAATTTCTCCTTCCTGCAGATTCAGTGCTCCTATGCAAATTTCCCGGGTAGAGCTGACTCCATTCTCGGAGTCTGACACAACGCGGTAGATGTAGACTAGGAGCACAAGAGTGAGCATTCGTCAAAGCACGTTGGAAGGTCGACAAACTTACGTAGATGATGTGACTTGATTGATCTCACGGCGATATAGATAACATTAACCGTCCCAGCTTCGCTATTCTAGTGTTGATCCAGTTAGCAGCAACCCATCTGGTCAAATGAATACACTTACCTCAGAGCACATAGTGATATCAATAGCCTCCTGATCAGCGTCCGGATGAAGAGCAAGAGGTGAACGGTGCAAGATACCTCTGCGTTGTGTTATCGCTATCTGCCCAAAGACTTTTTCAAACTGTAGTCCTAGGCGTTTTGTCAAATCATTCATCTTGGGAAGCTCGGGAGGGTCCGCATTGTCTTGGCCCTGATTCTGCTGCCCAAGCAGCTTTTTGAACGTATCGTAGAATGGCCGGTCATCTGCAGCCGTCCACTTGTCCGACGCAGTGGCAGAAGGCTTAGCAACAGGCACTCCCATCATGGGAAGCTGCTGGATGAAATGCTGGAGTGTGCTCTTGGTCAGCGCACCTCTAATGTATTTTAGAGCCTGTGGATAATCTATCATGTCTGTCTTCTCCATAAGTTCATCCAAAGTTTGTGACATGGGCTCGGCAGTCTGCATATCAATTTCATGGCGAAGCCACTGGGAGAAGGCGATGAACTGAGCCAGTTCCTCGTTGGCATTGATAAGGATCTGATGACAAAGAAGATGAAGACAATCAAGCGTCTCGACAATCGCATTGAGGTCGGTGGTTTCTAGGCCCAGCACTTCGCTGAGTTTCTGGAATCGAGATAGGCCAATAAGTCGGCTAAGCAGCACTTCGCATCGCTCAAGAGCGGGCAGTAGACACTCGTGCGTCAGCCGTCGGACGTTCTCATAACCGCTTGAGACAGCCTTTTCCCACCGTTTATGACCCTGTCGCGTTGTTAGCTTCATTTCGGAATAAGCATACGATAGGAATATACCCTTTCGCCGACAATATCTACTAAAAATTCCTTCAGCGGCTCGAAGCAATCGCCCGTCACCACAAGATGGTAAGCGGCAGTGACAAAGTCACAATGGCATTTCTCCTTCAGATCCTCATTGATACTGCGCATGTATCGTGCAGGCAACTCCTGCGCATTCTTCCATTCAAGCTCAATCTGCCTCTGGACCTGGCCGATATACCGGAGCAGATTCTGTAACTGGGTTGTCTTGTAGGCTAGAAGCGACAGATACCGACCAGACCGAGTGATAAAGCGAAGATCGATGGTGAGTAGATGCAGACCATTAGAAGAGCCCGGGGTTGACGCGGACGCCAGCAACGCATGCGTCGAGCTCAGTGGGTGCGACGCATGCTGGAGTATTCTGGAAGCAGACGAGCTGCCGTTCGATACCCCGATCTTAAACGAGCCAATCTCGAAGCAGTCAAAGATACGCAAATGGACAGTCCCATCGTCGAACCCGACCAGAAGCACATCAACCGCATCATTACTATTTTTCGACGACGAGTGAAAGATCGCATCGATGGACGCCCGAGAGCTAAACACGTCATCACTAGCAAGCAGTCAACCACAACGATCCCGAATTATCTACCAAAATACTCACTCGCTTCCCGTCGCAGGCAACGTACTCAATTTCGGCAAGGAGCTCTCGATATCCAGCAATGCCAGCTCGCGCGGTAAATCAGCCTTGAGCAGCGCGGCCGCCTTGGACGGCTGCGTATCCGGCGACAGCAGATCCGAGACGGTGAGTTGCCCCGCAGCGTCCTGCAGATGTCGCTGCGCAGCTTTGCTATCTGTAAAATTGACTCCCCAGCCCAGACAGGTGATGCTGACGGGCTGAGCGTGAGCGCCCGGCTGAGCCGCAGGGTAATGGTGCACCGTTTTACCACTGTACGAGCTGATCAACGGGACGGTGTCATCTGCACAAGCAACCGCCAGTAGATTCCCTGCGACCTCGTCAGCGAAAATTCAAATGGGTGCTGAAAAATAAGAGAGGATGACCATTATCCTTCCACATCACCGCTCGGATCTCGCCGTCTGCTTCGTCCTCGCCCAGATACGGATCTCCCTTGAACGACCCCCCGAAGACCTTCTGCCCGTTCAGCCGGAAAACACGTAACTCTTCATCCTCTGTAACTAGGGCGATCAGGTCCATCGTGGGACAGTATGTCAGCGTGCTTGGCTTGCATTTTGCCGGCAGTGACTTTTCGCCCACGGGCGTGAGCTGTGGCTTGAAGACCTCTTCAGCCATGGTTATAGTTTATTTTAATCCATCCTCTGATGATAGAGAAGAATTGGTTAAGGCGGAATGAGTAGATTCTCAGTAACTATCTCAAGGTTGTTCCTGTAGTTGTTGGAGGGATGCTGGAGCGGGTATTTTACCGACGATGCTTGGCACGCGTTTGTCGCGTTGCTTTGCACTTCAGACCAGCGAACTGGTAACTCAACATATATTTTATCGGGACTGAAGGGAGTATGGCCATTTAGCTCAGACGAGAAGCGGGGACAAGAAGCTTGTGGCTAGTTGCTTATGATACTGCGTATCAGATAATCTACTAATTGTTTTATAAATTCTATATCATCGTCTGGGTGAACGATATATTTTGTTAATCTAATTTCTGACCTAAGTAGGCACGGAGTACATCCTCTTATATTCATAGATTTGTATATTTAAAGACACTGATTATTGAAATCTATTTTTCTGCGTGTGTTGGCAATTGCTACAATGCCTGCATTGTTCACACTATAACAACATATTCTATTCCTCGCCAGTACCAGACTGGATCACGTTCCGTAGATAGGCCAATTCGTCTATCATATCCAGCAGAGACGTAGAAGCACGACTGAGGCGGTTGGATACGTCCCGGTTGTCAGTAAGCGATGCCGCGTTGTTTTTGACATCCTCGGAAAACTCGATGGTGGACGCGTCGGGACTTTTCACCAAACCTAGTGTCTCGAAAGCATTCATGGCGCCGAAGAAAGCTGCGTGTCTTTTGGGGTCCCTCTCCACGTTGTACATGTCTTCAATACCGAGACCTGCCATGTCAAGATCAGACGGAGACAATGACACCGTCAAGCGGGGAAGAGGAAGGTTGAAGTGAGGTGAGTCGCCGGCAATGGAGGTTGCATTCGAATTCACTGTCAGGTGAGGAGTGTTTGGATCGCTCGCGTCGGAGGCCAAAGAGGGTACGAGCTGGTCTGAAAATTCCGCGTCCGCGGGATTGCGGGACGGCTGGTTGTCGTTGTTGAAAGTGGAAGAGGAGGTCATGGACTCGGGAGAGATTATCTCTGTATCTGTACTCCATTCCGAAAAGTGACTTCTCTCGCAGTAGGAGCTGCCGACCACGGAGTCCTCCGTTTCACTGAAGTCAGAAAAGTGACTTCCTAGGTTCTCGGTATCGAGTTCTCTCTCGCGGGCGTCGATATCGCGCAGCGCTTCATCCATCACCGACGAGGGCGAGTTGGGTAATGTGGGAAGCCGTTTTTCTTTGTAAGTGAATGGGGTAGGCGTCGTAGCATCTGGAATGGTGGCAGTTCTCAAGAACGATGGCGATTCTAAAGCCGCTAGGAGCTCTGCAGCCATGTATGAAAAGGTTTTTGAGGCACACTCTTCGCTCGCGCTCGTATTGTCGGGCTGCGCTTCAAGAGTCAGAGGACTCCTACACGACAGGTGCTCCATGGATTTTGTGTTCAATGCACGACGATCCTGAATGGACATTGTCGGAGGGCTTTCATTGTCCGCAGACACAGGTCGGCGGAAGGGAAGGTCTTCTGGGTGAAGGACGTGCTCGTATTGCCTGGCGGTCGAGGCCGGATTGAAGTCATGGAAAGAATGCTCTGGAAAGTCAAAGCGGCCTTTTCCACTACTACCGGTGCGGCATAAAGACGCATATTCGACTTTCGAATCCAGCTCATTGTCCGAGTGGTTGGTGTTGCTGAGGTCGGGAGAAGAAGCATTCAGACACCGGATTGCAACCCGAAGGCCTCTCGACCTTGGTGGTGACACCGAGCGAGCAGCCTTGGAGCTAGAACTTCGCGGTGTTTTGTTTACAGAGCTACTTGGCTGGGAAGCCGCTCTATTGGTCAATGCTCCCAGAGGAGATGTATTGAAGGACCAAGCCGGGGTTGGCAGCTGAAGTAGTGGCGGGGATGTACGGAGACGGAGAAGCTTTGGCTTTGGCGGCCGACGTGGGTTCATGTACTTGTCCTCTGGGTTCATGGTTCGTATATCAGGCTTCCTGGAGCTCGGACTGTCTTGAAAGGAATGTGTAGGCCGAGTGTCGGGAAGGATAACGGGAACCTGGAGCACATTGAGCGGCTGACCGGGAAGCAACGGGCAAAGCGAGGTCACTGGCTCCGCTTCGTTATAATACTCGACGTCGTTGTCCAACAAGTACTAGTTAGAACGTCAGTGTTGAGGTACGACTGACAGGTGGAAGTACTCACATAATACCAATAAGTACCACCCATCTTGAGTCCACCAGACCGCGCTGGGGCCTGATGAGTGGGAGAGCCGTCACAGACTATGTCCGTAAATGTGTGGCATCCTCTCCAATGGCCTGGACCGACGCGGCGATCCCTTTCCATGGCATATGGTTTCGAGAAGTTATCCCATGACCCGAGCAGTTTGACGGACTTGACACTGGGACTGGTAGTACTGTGTGGAGGGTTAACTCAAGTCTAAGCGGGCTGTCCAGGGGAACTTACAGCAAAAACGTCATCAGTGTTGTTGAAGACATGATCGCAATAGATATCGCAATAGCTGAATGACCGAATAAACAAACGCAAGTAGAGAAACGCTGAAGATATATGCCGATTGATCAACGCTGAATTGCAAGTTTAATGAAGGAAAAGTCCCAAGTATTCCAAGCGACCTGAGTATTATATAGTTGAAGAGAATGAAAGACTGTCCGTTGTCTAGGACCGGCCCAGACAGCGCAAGTTGGTGAAGGCGAACTGAACGAAAGAAAAGCGCCTCGACGTTTCGAATCTCGCCGGATGTCCGTTTGCTTCTTATGAGATCCGAGAGCTCGGTACCAGGGGTCGACTGCGCCGCCGAATTGACAGAATTCAAACCGAACCCAAAGCTATTAATGGTATCTTACAGACAAGTTCGGCTGCGACGCTTTGTAGTTGGAGTCTCAGTAGCCGCGACGACCACAATGACGGAAATTGGATGTTCCTGAGCGACAGACACAGGAGTGACGGGCGCCAATGAGCTTGATGGATACGCAGCAGATGGAAGCGCCAGCGACGGGGATCGACGAAACGGCGACAGTATATCAGCGCTTACGGCAGTTGTTGTGGTTTCAGGTCGGGGGGGAGAGATTGTTTGAGTGCTTGAGCACCTTCAACCGGAACTGAAGAGAGATCAAAAATTGACCGTTGTGATGGGACGGCCATCAATAGAAGATAAAATAGGCGATGTGAGGAATAATAACCATCAAAACTTGAGCCATCATCATAAACAATCAACAGACAAGAACAAAAACACCTTGATATAAGGTAGGATCCACTGGCTGCTGCGAGAACCACGTCACAGCCCTGTATGGCGATATCTGCAGGGGGGCGCAGAAAACCGTGCGTCGAATCTTGAAGAGGAGAAAAGGATTGGAAGAAATCTGAGAGACTACCCAGACTAGTGAAAATAGCGACAGCACAGGGAGATGGATAACTCAATTACCTTAGGAGGCTGTCATCGACCGAGCGAGACCGACTGAGTTCAGCTGGAGTAAAGCCCTTGTTGAGTCCAATAATAGGCTGCTAGGACTTTGGCTCACATATAAACGGCCATTATTTTTATTATCCCCATCCTGATTACTACTGATAACCCTGTTTTGAATACGATCAGCAGCAGAACCACAACAATGCAGTCAGCCAGCCATGTGGTTGACTGGATAGTGGAGATTACTATTACCGCCGTCAGCTCAAGCCTTCTACTAAGGTACTGCTCTACCCTAGTACAGGAAATCAACCCTTCAATGACCTACAACGTTCCTCTTTCCGATCTGTAGAAGAGTGGTACAAACCAGTCAACTTCACAAAATGATCAATAACACAGAGATCATCCACGTGAAAAACCATGAGTACTCTCTACTGTAGATATCCATCTGTGGGTCATCTCCATATTCCGTATTACCAGGGGCTCATGCTTAGGTACCTAAGGACTCACGTCAATCATTCTCCAAGGATAATCCACGATGAAAAAAAGATGTGTCAACTGCAATCTACTCTACCACTTCAACACACAAAGTCCAAGTAGACTAGACTAGGTCTTGATCGGCGACGCCTCACGGGCCAGACCTGATGAATCAAACCCAAGGCTATGCGGATTACGGACTGACTAGACTAGACTACCTAGTTAAAGCATGTTTCACCGATCCCTGAACAAACCAATAGACTAATAAGAACGCAGACATCCAGATCCAAATTGACCAGTCGGATTTCCCGCACACACTGAAATCATCCTGGCGCTTACGGCCATGCAGGTACGCTCTTAGTGTGCTTCGGTGCCGGGCAACAGATTGCGGCAGACTGGGACACGGCAGAAAGAAACAGCCACCACGGTTCAGACGGTTAAGGTTCTCTCATCCCCTGCCGAGTATTGATATCGTGGATTTTACAAGTCCTGATGTATGTCCAAAGCTTGTGAGTCGGGAGAATATCGTGATCTTGTTTCCCATGGATCATCTTCAATAGTCCAGAGACGGCGGATGGATCCACCGTCTAGGGGCGGCTGAATGGACTCAACCAAAACTTCGGACAATACGAGTACGGAAGACTCTTCCTTTTACCTATATTTGGTAAGTGTTCAAATGTACACCGACTTGGTTCGATTAATTTGGCCAGTTCAGTATGAACAGGACCGTGCTCACCTTCGAACAGCCTGGCGCTTACTGTGGCATGTTTCAGTCTACTCTCTTCACATGTGAAGAATGAGCCTGTCTGGGAATGATTACCTTAGCTGTCTGCCTGCTAGCTCTCCTGGAATGTCCTGGCCAGAGCCTAGACTGGGAAATCAGAACCATGGCAAATCTGCCTGCTCGATTCACGTTGCTAGGAGTAAAGGTAGACGTATAGATAGGTGCGCCAAGTCCAAGCTGGAAACACAATAGCCGCCCTCAAGCTAATGAAACGACACCAGAATAAAAAGCAAAGAGCCACCACGTAGCAATCTCAAGCAAAAAAGCCACCAATCTGTCTAAAACGCCTTCCGCTTATCGTATTTCTTATGCACCGCACCCATCGTGCACTTGAGGATGCCCTCCGCGCTCAGCGTCTGCCCGCGGCTCCCCTTCCACGGCACCGTATCGACAATATCCCTCAGATTATCCTCCTGCGCCATATGCCCTAGTTCATCGTCCAGATCCTCCAGATATCGCCTCGCCCCCTCATCATCCCCAATCTGAAAGAACTGGATGCCCACCTGCCACGGCACAGCGCGACAAGCATCCAACCGCTTCGCCACCTCAACAATCACACTCTCGGCATCATCCGTAAACACCCCGTCCGTAATCGCAATGATATTCAACGGCTTCACAAACCTCGCCGGATCCGGCAGGTTCCCATCCTCATCCGTCGCGGCCGCCATCTTCTCCACGCGCCGCAGGTACGGGGTCAGGATCTGCAGCAGCCGTTTCCCGTAGGGCGTTGGCCCGCGCGGCCGCACGCTGTTGAAGATCTCCTGCACATCCGCGGCGGTGGTGATGTTGTGGTATGCGCCCGTGGAAGTGGCCGTTGCCTCGCGGCGGTGGTTGAGGAAGTAGATGTCGATTCCGTCCTGGTCGTACCGCGTGCAGATGGGCGCGATGGCGGCCAGGGCCTCCTCGGCTTCTTTCCACCGCGCGCCGAGCATGCTGGAGCTGTCGTCGACCACGAAGATCGTGTCGAACTCGCGGAGGAAGGCGTAGGGTGTATCGCCTGTGCTGCTGGTGAAGGAGGCCGTCGAGCCGGGTGTGTGTGCTGCTGGTGCTGGTGCTTGCGGGGTATAGGGAGGCGGAGACCAGACGTCGACGTTTCTGGTTTGCACGTAGGTGTTTCCTTTGTTGGGAGTAGACCTGGTTCCTTGGTAGGTGGTCATTCTTGAGGTTGAGGTGCTTGAACTGCCTGCTTCTCGGGAGTGACGATGGCCCATTGTGATTTCTGGAGTGTCGTTGACAGTATACGCGGGTGGAAGCTGGTGCTGTAGTGATTCCGGGGCGAGAGATTCACCAGGAGAAAGAGGAGGGGGAGGAGGAGATCGAGACTTGAATTTTCCAAAGAGAAGCGGCATCGAGATTGGGAATCTGGATGATGCTCGTGGTATGCAATCGGCTCCACAAAGAGGGAAAGTCTGATGCCTTTCCTTGGTTGTGAATGAAGTCAGAACTGACTAGACAGGCAGTCTCAACCACAGTTGTATGGATCTGTCAACTAATGATCTCATTGTTTTTTTCTTTGCACAGGTGCGAATACTACTTTCTTATATCTACTCATGACCCTTAATATCATGAACAAGGAAGGCATACAAGGCAGACTAAGTCTATCCTGTCATTATATTACCACAAAGAAAATTGTCCATGCGCCAGGCTAGAAGGCTGAGCTTAGAGAGTCATGATCTAGGATCAAGCCTTAGAAGGTAATACAAGGGCTAAACCCCGGATTCAGGGACAAGATACGAACTGCTAGCCAAGTTAGATAAAGGAGGTGCCAGAATACAATGAGGCTGAGTCGTGTAGTCAATTATTATGACTTAGTCACAGCAACCCTTGCTCCCGTATTATGGAGTGCCTTGCAGCACTGCCCCTCCCGCAACCATAGTTAGGCAAGGCTGTGTAGCTGCCTCAGGAACAAATGAAAGCAGAGTGTGCAGTCCACCAGAAGGCTTCTACCTAAGCTTATGAGATATGGATGAGATGTATTATGTATATGAATGTGTCAGTTACATCATGTACAGCATAAATCATCTGATAAGGCGCCTGACGATACAGAATGATAATGCACCCAATACGCCAGATCGCCCATAACTATACACCCAGGTTCAATCAAATCACCCTCATAAAGGAAGCAATTATTCAGCCTCCAAGTGCTTCCAAGTAGTTGCCAAAACTTTGTTCTTCACAATGGCGGAGCTCTTCTCCTCGATGAGCACTCCGTCATCACCCACGCCGTCAAAGACCCCCGCTTCGGTTTCTAGAACATCAATCAAAGCAAGAGCCTGATCGATCCCCATACCGTGCCCGATGAGCCGCAGACAGTCAATGCCCCACTTGCGCAAAGGGTGATTCTTCCCCTCGGTTGCGCCGGCCATTACCAGCGGCCACAGTAGCACGAGACCTGCGGTGTGGCTCTCATTGATGGGGACAGAGCCTATCTGCCTCTCTCCTGTGCTTCCAACGCCAAAATGGTAGGGTACGCTGGCACAGATGTCCGCAGCCAACTGCCGCGTGATGCTGCGGATCCTGAAACAGTGACTTTGCAGTTCGCTGGCAGCGGATGCGCCCGCTGACTTAACAAACAGTCGCCGCAGACAGCTCAGTATGATCTCGGAGACGATGATGCGCGCGCAGCGATACTGGTTCCATGTATGACAGATCCAGAGATCGTTGTAGATATGGTATTGGTTGTTGTATGGGAGTATGCCACGACAGAGTCTCTTGAACACGTCGTCAGAGTAAGTGTTCTCGACGGTGCTGTACGAAAAGTCTGGAGGAAGAGATGCAAGCCAGGCTAGCAATTCTGCTTCGATATCGTAGGCAGC